TAATGATTAAAAAGTGACAAGTTTAAAAATGTAAGGGGTAAAAAGGAGTTTTAATGGCAACGAAACAGGGGTAGGAGGTCAACTTTGCTGGGTATCTTTATCCAACATCATGAAGTCAATCTACAATTTTGGTAAGCTAACACAAAGCCACTCTGTTCTATATGTTTCATTCACTATTTTGTTTTGGTGGGGGGGGGGGGATATTTGTGATATACGAAGAGATGCCAAATATTGTATATCCTCTCTTGTATTGATTTATAAGAAAATAACAAAAACAATCATTACTTGCAGCTATGCTTTCTACCGCATCGTTGAAATGGAAAGCTTGGACAATATCCAAGAGTCTCCCTCGGGTTCCTCCTCTCCTTAGCCATTCTCTGAGCATGTGCAGAACAACCGGATGTACTACGTACGGGGGCAGGGTGACGTTCTTACACATGGCACGCATGATGTCAGAAGCGCCAATGTCCAGGCGTGGGGCAAGCTGAAGCAAGTCTGACATGGAGCACATCGTTTTGAAGAGTTCTTCAAGAGAGTCATCTAGAAATAAGCACATGATAATGATAGAAAAAAACAACTAATATCATCATTTTCATTATTATCATCAATAATATCATTTATTATTTACACCATTGTTACAATAAATATTAATTTAATTATCACTAATATTTTTAATTTTATTGTCGATATTATTATTACAATTATTATTATTATTTCCATTTCTATTATAATAATTATCATTATTATTATCATCGTTATTATCATTTCGGTTGTTGTTGTTAATGGGCTGAATGCAGACAGGAAAAGAAAAGTATTAAAGAAAATGAAAGTATGCAAAAGGAATATGACTTGCAATGTGAATCTAATGGGAAGTCAAACTTTTGGCAATTTACAAGGTTCTGGAACCAAGGACATGCTCGTTGTTTAAAATGATTGTCAAAGTGAAGGTACGGACAATTCGATAGAGTCTCTTAGGTACCCACCCACGCACCCATCCATAAATCCACCCACGCATGCTCACCCACACATCCACCCACACACGCGCTCAAACATCCAAGGCAAACCTGTTTGGTTGTCCTGAATATTGTATTCCAGGAGAAGCTCAGCCATTTTATCGCTCCTTTCCTTCCTATCTAAACCAATCAACGATTCATCAACGAGCTGTCTTGCAACCTTCGTCAGTGTTGTCAAATCAAGAGGCTCAATGAGTGGAGCAATGACGTCGTCCTCCAAGCAGAGAGCTTTTCCTAATTCCCAGGCTAATTGCAAACTCTTCACTGCCCGAGCGACACTCCAAAGCTCCTCCGAAGTTGGCGATCCTCCAGACATGTTGAAGTCATCAACAGAATTGTCCTGATCTATAGTAAATTCAACAAAAATCGTTTTGCGATTGAAGGCTTTCGGTACCAGCATGTGACAGAATTACTGAAAGGCTGTTTATATATTCTATCACCAAAAGTATCCGTTTATGGTGTGTCCAGAGGAATTAAGGAAAATATAAAGGAAAGGGCAGAAAAGGAGAGAGATATAATGATGAAATTAAGTTTTTGTATACACTTCGAGACTTTGTTTTTGGTGTTCGTACACAAAAACTGAGGTGATATGGAAAAAGGAAACGAAGGGGAAGGAAGAAGTGATCTAGATCAAGAACTTTATGAGCAGATCACAAAAGTTGAAGTGTGAAGGGTGTAGTACTGAAAAGAACTACCGGTATTCCTCTGTAGAGAAAGAAAAATCAAGGTGCGCATATACCCTGAATCATAGCTATTTGAAAGAGACAGTTGCATCACTGAATGTCGTTTCTAATCAATCAGTTGTTTCATTGAGTATACTTTTCTATACTTTCTATGGGAATTTTGTTGTTGTCACCTACTGTTTAATGTTCTTCTATTATTATTATTATTTTTTTTATTTTTTATTTATTTATTTATTTTTTATTTATTTTTTTTTGGGGGGGGGGGGGAGAAGACAATAATACCATTCCCGAAGCAAGATGATTAAACAAATGAAATCAAAGAATAGAAAATATTGTTTGATAATGAAGAAGATGTTACTTTCCTGAATCCGTAGTCCTGATGATTTCCACATAGTCCGCATCCGTTCCTTTGCTTGGTGGAAGTCTCCTCATAGGTTTGGTTATGGTCTGCTTCTTTTCAGGCAAACTTCTCTCATCTACAACTAAAGATATAATAACAATTAATGATCATATGATGATCTAATAAAGGTGTAGTGGTCTTGTGAAAACGTCACCGGACTGTGGATCACATGGTTCGCGGTACAAGTCCCGCTGCGGCACTAATGTCCTTTGGCAAGTCATTAATCTACATTTGCCACTCTCCACCCAGGTGAAGTAAAATGGGTTCCCGGTAGGAAGAGATTCCTTGACAGCTTAAGCGCCTTATTATGGCGGCTTAGCTACAGCTGGGGTAAATATATCATACTTTGTATCAAGCACATTTAGTATATTCATATTGTTGCTGCGGTATAAAATGGACTTATAATTATCATTATTATCATGGTAATATATCTATATTGCTATACATGTATATCTAAAAGGGGCCTCAAAACTATCAATTTTTGTTGGCCATGCAATGTAATTTTTTCTTCAGTCTGGTGTCGGTCTGTATGGTCTCGTTGGTGCAATTAAGGTATTAGGGGTGGTATTCTGCACTTAATCATCATTTGTGTATGACTTGTGAAAGTCGTTTAATTGTCTTAAGAAATTGAAACATACAGTTGAGAGATATCTGCGTCAGCCATCCATGGTCATTGTCTTTCTTTTCCGGGCAACATTAAGAAGTGACGATTAGCGACATTAACTAAAATGAAAGAAAAAGAAATTTCCAGAATCTGGTCCTAGGCCAACCTTTCAATTCCTCTGTTCTCGATGTAGGCTCAGGTTCAAGAGAAAACACTCCATTCCTTGGACTAGAATGTCAACTCGAGGCCCCGCGCTCCAATGCACTTTAATACGCTATACTTCTCGCAAAGAGTAGGCTGTAGACCTCGTTTTTAGTGTGCCTGTTTACAAAACTGGTAATCTTTCTACAAATCTTTGGGATAGGCTGCATAGCCCTTGAAGATTAACAGAAGAAGAAGAAGAAGAAGAAGAAGAAGAAGAAGAAGAAGAAGAAGAAGAAAAGGAGACAACTATGTCAGGGTACAGGCCTACCTTCAAATTTCTCTGATTTTGATGCTGTTTGGATGGACTCCCAAACGCGTTTCAACACCTCTATAGCTTCTGGTCCCGAATGCTGGGATGCTTTCCAACTAGACAGCATCTGGATGTTGGCATCCTTTCTGTTTGCAAACGTTCGATGTTGTATGTGTTCTAACTCCGTGCGGTTGAATTCCAACTTCTTGCCAATCTCAAAGAACTGCTCTGCTTTGATCTGACTGGCCAACGCAAGCAGCATCTTGTCGGGAACCTCACTGTGATGGATAGTAAAGTGAACCAGTTATTACTTCGCGTCGGGTCGGGTGGTCGCGTTATAGGGCCTTGTGTGACAACATCCCATTTAATTAAAAAAGGTGGGTGGTCATGCTTGTAAAATAAACCCCTCTCATCTAAAAAAAAATAGTGTAATCCAAATTACAAAACACTTGGTGAAAACCCTATACAGCAAATCTACGAATTAAAGGTCGCACCATCTTCCACTTTCGTCTTCGTTTCATGCAAGGTCGTATAAGGGACCATCAAACTGGACGATATGACCTAATGATTCGAAGTAATATAAGCTCTTATTAAGGACGTTGCAATTATTGTCTATCTATGCATAATCTGTTCACGTACATGGAATTTCACTGCCATACAACCTAACATGTCAAATCCTATGGCATCTGTGTCATCATACAAACTGTTTTTTGGCGGGCCAGGACGCACAATAGTTTTTCGAAATGGTGCGCCAAATACTGACTCGCAAAACGAACCATCATATGAATATACTTACCCAGTTGTAGCTGGTTATGATACATGTCGATCAAGTGGCAGACGTTTTTGATAATGACGACACATGGCCAGGAAAGTAGAAAAAGAACACAAAATTATGATAAGTTGGGAATCACTCCAAAGACATAATATAGGAAAGAAAGATTTAAACAAATTTAGAAAAAACCTTCCACCTGAACCTTTGATAATCACCCTTGCATGATGGCCTGGCCAGACCGTACCTTTAGCGATATAACTATAATGATGAATCGTTCCCGATTCAGAAGATATTATGAGGGCAGTGCTCCTACTGATTTATTTACAGAGCCCCAGCTATTTTATTATTTAGGGCTCCGTCTAATAAAGAGTTGAGAATGAAATATATATGGATCAATCGCAAGTCCTCTAATCAATCTCAAGTGTGCAGTCCCCCATCTCTTATGTACGTAGTTGCAATTGATATCAACTCTTTATAAGACGGGCCCAGGTGTACATATGCAGATCATTAATTGTTAGGTTCGACCAGGCCTTTCTTCAGTTTTTTGACATATCGTTTCTTTCCTCTTTTCTGACAAACGGCTTCTCCCTTCTTTTTTTTAAACGTTAAACAGAATGGCCCAAATCCGCAAAAAACAAAAAACTGGTAGGTAGTCCATGGATATCATGGGATGCCTGCATGAAAGTCGTTAATCCCATTGACAATAAATACTTACTTTCTTGCGGGTATTCTACCATATACTATGATCAGCCTAGAGAGGAAACGTGAACAGTCATAATATGTATGAAAACAAGCACAACATCTTTATTCACGTTTAAAAAATTAAGAAATAATCATTACAAATACTAGCACTATAAACCTGACGGTGATTGAATTTTCTCCTGCAACAATTGATCCAGCTTATATTTTGTCAAAACTAAGGGGTACGGATTAAGGTTAGGTTAAGGGTTGTAACTGGGTTTTAGGATAGGTTTAGGGTTAGTATCAGGCATAGTGTGGTGCAGGGTTGAAAATAGCTACTCAATTGTAGGAATTTACCGCAGAGCGATTGATGCAAGAGCAAGTGCCATTCAACTAACCTGAAATCTCTGTCTCTTCGGCTGGCGAGACCAAAGATTTCATGAGCGAGATGAAAGTCTTCTTCGCTTCTTGGCCGGAGGCCTGTCTCTTTCTCCATGTCACTAGCATGTCATACATGGCCTGCTGTCTGTCACGGAACCTCCTGTATTCTATGACATCCAACTGTTGTATGGTGAAACCAAGAGCCACTCCCAAATCATAGAATTGGTTCACCGTCATCATCTGAGCTATCGTGATAACATTAATGTCGGGAAGGTCACTGCCAGAGAGCTCTTCCACAGCCCTGGAAAAATATACAGTCAAATCTGATTTGGCAACACCTATACAGAGATACTATGAAGACCGTATACTATGTGCCCCTATTGTTTCCTATTGAGTCTCGTGTGTAAAGACGATCTGCCTTTAAAGATCGCTTTTCTTTTCTCCCTTAAACAGTATCCATATACAGGTCCCCCTACAGGAACTCTCACATTTTGCTTGGGGGGGGGAGGGGAGTGGCCGGTTCAATACAAATTTATTTCCAAAATAGGAATAGACTTATGGTTAATCCTTCATAAATCTTTGATTTCTCTGCGTTGACATTTTAATATTTTTTCTTATAATGTGAAGAAATGATTAGTGTCAATGTAGTGCAATGAATGATATTAGGTGTGTATAGCTGTAGTCCTTTTCTTGAGAGGTATCATGTATATCAAATATTAAATCAACAAAAAGAAAGTGAATCCTTCAGAGATACATTTTTTGACAACAGTATCATAAACAAGAGAGCTTACCGAATAAATGAAGAGGGCTCAGTAGATACTTGGCATGTCGAGTCATCTGCAATAAAAGGAATGCATGATTTTAAAAAGAGAAAAGAAGAAATGGGTGTGGTAGAATAACATTTTATTAATAATGATAACACTAATTATAAAAATAACGATGACAATAATAATAATGACAATGATAGTACCAATATATCTTATTGACCAAATGTAGCCTCATCAGTATAAATACTGTTTTCTCTGGGGCGCTGCAACTTGTCACATGAGCCTACATGTTAGAAAATTGAAACCACAATCATTAACAACAACAGCAAGTACGGGAACAGGAATATAAATAGGAACAACAACAAAAACGATCATAACAACACCACACTCAACCGTAATGATGATAATACTGATTAGTATATGGTCGTATTTACCCAGGGTAGCCTCATAAGTATTTAATAATACTTTAATATTTTTAATATAAATTTGTTATTTTTACCTTAATCCTGATACTATGCTTCAGGCGCTCAGTGTTTTTCAATGAATTATTTTGTACTGGGTACCTATTTACTTTACCTGGTGGAGAGTGGCAAATATAGATTAATGCCTAGCCAAAGGATATTGGATGAACTTCGATGACTTTATTAATATGACATTCTAAATCTAAATTCAAATCCATTTTAAATCCAAATTCATATTCACACCCAAAATAAAATTCAAATTCAAATTCAAATTCAAATTCAATTTCAAATTCAAATTCAAATCCAAAATCCAAATCTAAATCCAAATCTAAATCCGAATTCAAATTAATTAAATATACCTGTTTACTAATTATATGCATAATTTTCCCCCTTGAAGACTGAATAGCTTGCTAGAGGCTTACCCAACATATCAACAACTAATGTATGCAAAGTGAATTCCATCCATTTTACATAGCAGGTGAATCAAATACTTGGTAACAAAGGATTCAGGACAGAAATAAGCATAAATTAAAATACATTTTAAACAGGTTTATTTGCCCCCCCCCCCCGCCCCCCTCCCACAAAACCTTTATAAATCTCTTTTTTTTAAAAACTAATCTGAAAAAAAATCTTAGAATAATCATCATGACTTTCACCAATCTCTTTCATGGGGAATAACATTTTCCACCCACCTGTGTATCTGATGACGAACGCCAACGATTGAGACCTCCTGCCTAGTCTTCCAGCCTGTGAAATCGTCACGTAAATGACTGAGAATTCTGCATCATCCTCGCCAGGAGTCATTGATAACAATAAGTTGTGTCTCTTTCGGCTGTGAGTATCCTTCAAAGAAAGTACCTGTGGGCAAACAAATACAACCAAACAATTAAAGTGAAAGATCTGTATTAAAGATCAACCAGGGGAGGTAACAAAAGTGGTCTTTACGAGCAGGCAGTCTTTATGTACAGGTTTCTATAATACATGGTTCGATGACAAACACAATTCAAGGAAAACGTGGTCTGCATAGACAAGTGATCTTTCTTGCAAGTGGTACCTTAAGGCAGATTTGACCTTATTTTATTCAATGCAATTAGCTATTAAATGAAATTTGAAAGGAAAAGAGCCGATTAAAGATTTTAAAAGATGTTTGAATGCCAGTCAAGGGGAACAAATGTTACCAAGCATTTTTCGATTTTTTACTTGTTGTTGTTTCATATGGAAGGGAACAATCAGAGTTTTACATTAAAGATAAACTTTAGTACTGGTAATGCGATTGCATTGTGAAAGAAAAGGTGTGGAAAGGATCAGAAACAGTTGATCATGTAGCATGTAAGTATTGGTGTGCACTGCAAGGTTCTGGAGTCATCAAAATCATAATAAATTTGACCGAGTCTTGGTAAAGTAACAAGCACTCACATAGAAAGCTATATATGGGACAACAGTCATGGTGTCGGGGCTATTACTACCTTGATTTCCTTGTCTTTCTATGCTCATTACTCAGCCAGTATACATTTTCTTCCAAAATTGTTTGGCACATGTAATTTATTTGTAATCTTGAACATTCAGTGTAAGTTTCGTTTGATTCTGTGAGAATTTTTTACCAGTACTGGAGTTTATCTTTAACATGTGTCTTTAAAGGCCCGGTCCCACTGCACTTACGGATGCAAAGAGGATATAAAACGTAAAAAAATCTTGCCATCCGTTGGAAAACGCTAGGCATCCGTTGTGTACTCATTGCATACGTGTTTCATACGCTCTATCCATCGAGCATCCGTCCACTGTGATTTCATCCGCGCAAAAAGTTTTGAGCTGCACAAAACTTTTAGAACGGATGAACTTCCGCCGTTTACGATGTAAATCCGCGACAAATACGAGCAACAAACGTTCTATGTTCGTTATCATCCGTAAAACGTCCGCTGTATCCTCTCTGCATCCTCTGGGCATCCTCGCAACTCACATCCGCTGCAGCGGACAACGGAAAGAGGGAGGAAAGATAAGGTACATGGAACGTCTATACATCGGTAGTAGCACGGAAATAGAAAGGATGTAAGCGTATGCATCTCGTATATAAAGTATTCAAAGCTGTCATCCACTTCCATCCGCTTTCATTCGCTAGGCTTCCGATGAACATCTGTTTAACATCCCCGCTACATACTACCCACGTCCGTTATTTTCCGTTCTGTTTTCGCAAATTTTGTCCATTTCTGGAGCGGATGAATACGGATGGAGCCACCCCCGAAATTTTGCTCGTCCGCTGTGTCCTTTATACATTCGTTTTGTGTCCATCGGCCAGTGGGACCGGGCCATAAGCTACAAAGTTACAGGTGTTAAAAAAGTGACTTCTCAAGGCACGATTATTTCTATCATTTTACTGCAGAAGAAAAAGAAATGAATACAAATAAACCTGCTTAAGCAAGCAACTGTACATTGAAAGACCACCTGGCCATAAAGACCACATTATCTGTTTCCCTTGAATAGCGTTTGTCATTGTGTACTAAAGGAACCTGTACATAAAGACCACCTGCTTTTTCTGTCTCCCTTGATCGGTCCTAATACATTGAAACCTGTATATAAAAACTGTTAAAGGAGACTAGAAAAGTGGTCTTCAGTGGCAGATGGTCTTTACAGACAGGTTGCTTTAGGACAGGTTTCAATATGAATTAATGTTAAAGGGGAACACCACATAGGGTCATTATAGGCAGGTAGGCTTTCTATACAGCTTTGTATACAGGTATCACTTAATTGGAACATGTTTGCATACCTTAATGTTGCTCATCTTAACTGCACCATCACAAGTTACTGAAATGTCACCGGATTTAGCTTCGATAGAGATCGGAAAGGAGCGATGTGCACTGTGGTATGAACTCTTCTTCTCTTCCTTTTGTACCTCCTATTTAAAAGAAAAAGAACAGAACATAGACTGTATCTCATTCATTAACCATTACAGGTCAGGAATATAGCTACGAAGACAGATCTTTCGCCAACGCGGCACCCGTTCTCTGAAACTCACTGTGTGTGTTATAAATACATATATCTTATTAAAGTTATCTCTGAAGGGCTCAACTGGTTACATAGTGTTCTTCAATTGGACAACAGTAACTTGTTAAAGGGCCACTCTAACCAAAACGGGCTAAAAAGAAAAATAATTTTTGACGGAGATTCCGAACATGACATGAATTTCTTAGAAATCATCACTAATTCTGGAATCTAGCTTTAAAAACTACGACTCAGAACGCTCAGAAAAAGCCCAGTTTCGGAGCTGTATTGCGCAATAGAATATGATGTCACTGCAGGAGCCTCTCCGGTGAAAAGGAGGGTTATTTAGGTATTAAAATGTCTTTAAAAGGGCAAACTATGATATTGATTGGGGGGAAAAAAGACATTTATTCGAGAGAAAAAAATATACACTTGATAATCTCAGTACGTTTCTGGCAATTTTGTCATTCCTAATGTAAGATCCTTAGTTGTAGGACAAATCGGACATGCCCGCAATGACGTCAAATACGTCTTCAAGGCCACGTGACCGTTTTACCCTTTTTCGAGGGGCGTAGCCCAGCAAGCTTTAGAACTGTGAATAATGGATGGTTATTATTATTTTTTGGTCAATTTAGAGATTTTCTGAAAAATCAGAGACTGGAATATTAATAAGTAGAGGTGTATTCATGTTTTGAAAGGCTATGTTAGTTGGGTAAGGGTGGCCCTTTAATGAGACCAAATATTCCAATGTCAGTTTCTACTTAGTTATATGTAATATCTTCAATCTACTTGTATGGACCCAATGTATCTACATGCATGTCTATAATTATGGTGGCCCAACAGCTCCGCAAACAATTGGTCCAGGATATATCTAAAAGTCTAGAAGCTCGTGTGTAGAAGGGACACACCCTATGCAAGCTAGTTTATACTCTCTCAAAGATAAGGGTGTATATTTGGTTTTTAGTGTGCTCTCCAATGGCTGCAAATTACAAGAAGATGAAGGAATAATCATATGGGCAAAATGGGGTTGCCCATATAGATCCCATTTGAATCTTCAGTGCTTACTCGTATGGGGCCCATATGGGGATTCCAAAGAGGGGGCTATATGGGAACTTCCACCCTTTGATGCCCATAAGGGATAGTGCACATCATGCCCACAATTTTCCCCACACCAGATAGGCCCTGGGACGAACCCATATGGGCCACCTGGGATGGCTCATATGCTCCCTATACGAATGGTGGGTGCAATATCATATATGGAGTCTATATGGGCAGACCCATGTGGGACCCATATTGGAACTCAAGGTACATGTGACCAATATGAGCATGCTCCCTGGGAAGATATCTTAAGGGAGTGAGATCATAAAAGTGAACCGAGTTGAACCGAAGTATTTCTAACTGACCATTTCAATCCCCGGGATATCTGCATTCAGGTGGAGATGAACATCAAACTCTTTGCCTCGTTCAATCTTGTCCGGTACGTATGGGGTACACATGAATTGAAGCTGGATGATTTGTTGCTCAAGAGGGATAAGAACCCACCACTCGGCAGGGTGGTCGATGTACAACTCAAGATGTCTCTTAAGGACTTTGCAGTACGGCCATTTGTCAGCTGCAGCAGATGATTTTGTCCTCGAAATACTCGGTAAACCTATGATTAGAGTCACAATGTCTTACATTCTTTAATGATCATTTGAGCAACATGAGGCAAGATACATGCCTATTATGGAAAAGAGATTACTGTTTGGAATGATAATGACTTTAAAGATCAAGTTGATTACTAATCATGCAACTGGATGTTTTTAATGATTTTCATGAAAAGAAACTGACACATTTTCCCATAAAATCAGATGCACAGACAGAGATGTGTACACGGAACTAAACACAAATGTTTGGACCAAACTTTATTGGTATTTATTACCACATTTTGAATAAGAACATAAAAGCAATCTTTTTTCAGGAGACTTTTCTACTAGGGTATTCTTCCAAAATGACAAATGAAGAATGAAAAAAAAATCAATCATAAATTAATTTTCATCTTAACCAGAGCTCAACCTTCTCTTTAAGTCATTTAGTATTTAAAGTACTTTGGTAGCCATTTTAAGGTAATCCTTTCAACAGTTATCATAAATGCATTGTCCATATGACATATTAAGGTCATCCTGTCAACAGTTAGCATAAATACATTGCCAATATGACATATTAACAGCCCTTGAGTCACGTTTCAGTCTATGAAGATTTAAATTAAGAATGATTTTTCAAAAGACATTTTGGTCCGTTTTCTACTCATTCAATTACCGTCATAAAACCCTGAGTCAAAGATCATGTTCAACTAAAACCTTAAATAAATATTCTTATTTAAACCTCATTTTTGACACAATCATAGCAAACTATTGGGTAGTACAACTACATGAACACTTTTACAAAAGCATGTTCTTTGAAAACTTAACTGGTTCATACATTCACTTGATTCATTTAAACGTTTTATTAACACTGTCTTGGTTTAAAGACCAGGGGGGTGTTTCACAAAGATCCTAAGTAGAACTTAACACTAAGTTGGACTTAAAAATTATGGACAGCCATTGGAGCCTTAACATGAAATATATTCAAAAGCAGAAATTCAAGTATTTTAGACTTTTTATAAATTCCACATCAAGAACATAGAATCTCCCATGATAATAGAAAATATGAATGATTTAAATCAACATTTTATGTCTTTTAAAATAACTTTTACAAAATGTTTTCAAGGATGCTAATGGCTTTCCATAATTTTTAAGTCCAACTTAGAGATAAGTTCAACTTAGGATCTTTGTGAAACACCCCCCTGGATCCCTTGGGTAACCAGGAGGAAAAGAATGGTTTAAAGTAGTTTAGTTTGGGAAATAAAATTTCAATAATAAACGTTGCAACAATGGATCTAACCTACCCTTTCTTGGATCCCAAATATGTGAGACGATGTCTGGTATCACTTGTTCAGGGTGGGTGACCAAGGTGGAATGTGGTATAATGATCTTAACAGGTTGGTGGAAGACCATGTTTGGAGGGTCACATCTGATCCCGTATGCTGCCATTGATGTGTCATCTTGGATGACAACACCGGGGAGGTTTCTCACAACGGTAAGGGTGATCTTGCAAGATTCGTTCTGTTCGACAGCCCCAGGTGGGATAGCCATTGAAATGCCATGTTGTTCCAGTTCGAGCTCTTTACCGTCACATCCAACCTCAGCAGAGACAGCGTTGACCACTGGTGGTGTCGACTCTTTAGCTGCACATCAAAATTCATCAAAGAGAGATTAAGAATGATTCGGGCCAAAAATAGAGCTGAGTACCTTTCCACTGAAAAAACACTATCCAGAAGCAACGGAAATAGTTTGACTGTGTTTTACATAACAATCGATGTAGGTTTTGGAATGATAAAAAAAGAAAAGCAAATGATTCCTGCCATATTGGTATGGGTTTAGGAGAAGCCAATAATGTCAATCATTTATCTGTACTTCTGAAAGAAAATTTGGCAATTCCCCTCAAGTTTTCTTGTTCTGTTCTGGCTCTTACAATGCACCCATATCAATAAAAATTGAAAACCTTAAGAATTGTTGATTGATCATTATTTGTTTATGATACACTATGTTTATTATTTATTTATTAGAGAGTGTTACCTCGATAAGCTCTGATGATATCCATGTTAGGAGATCTGAGAATAAATGCAAACGACAACAAAGACAAATTGACAATATCATATTGTTTCAACCTTCAGGATATTCTTGGGCAAGCAAAAGGTACTTCAACAAATATCCACAGATCTGTTACCCATGGATAAGTCCCACTCTCTTGCTTTTCAGAATAATTATTGCTAAAGTAATGGAGGTGCTTCATATATGACTACTTTTTGTTTGTTTTTTCTTTAAAAAAAAAACAATTCCACCTGGATACTACAGGATATACTCTTGGTGTATATATTAATGACTGCATACTTTTATATTCCCATATCCAGTGTTTGTCTCAAGTTTTATTTCTTGCAATTTTACAATATAACTAACTGGTTTCGAATGGAGTTACTGAAACATTAAGTGTTAATCTTCACATACTGCTCTTTATATTGGTTAAATAAAGAAATCAAATGTATAAATCAGCCCGAAACCCAAATCCAAATTTAAGAAAGCAATGTTACTCATTTTTATTTGTTTTTAAAATACTAATAACTATATTTTGTAAAGCAATTTACCAGTTACAACGTAGACCGCTCAACTATGACACCATTTCTACACTTCTTCAAAATGCCCATGTTAATTTAATCCTTCCCTACCTTGAGAATATCATCTGGCGGATAATTTCATCCTTGGCATAGTGGACTGGTAGGTTGCCATGGTTATCCTTGATGTTCGGCTTTGCTCCGTGGTCCAAGAGATAGAAGACCAGGGCCTTCCTGGGAGACAATTCATTCTGATAGAACTCTTCTGAGATCTAGAACAATAGAAACGATTGTTTAAACTTTGGGAGGCCCTTGTGTTTCTGAAGATTTATCCACAGGTTTATAATTCCAAAAAAAAAAAAATCGTTTTCTGATAGTTCGTTTATGTTTGTAATTCCGAACGTTAAATAACTATCATTACTCCAAAGGTTTGCATTCCGAAAATAATATAAGGTTCGTTATCTCAAAGTTTTAATTCTATGATACAAAATTCTTTTGTCATTTTTGCAATAATGAACTCTATTTCTTTTTCGGAAATTACGAGTCCTCTGTGATTTTCAGAATTATGAATCCGATTAAATTTTTTCAGAAATAAGAACCTTAAAAAAAAAAATTGTATTTAACTTTACGAGATGGAAATTTAACATCGAAATTCGAATGGCAATGTGCCATATGTAATTTTCTTTTAGAGACTAATTCATTGTTAAATTGCTATGCTCACTCATGTGTGAATGGTATGATTCAAATTGCATAATTGTAAGTAATTCGGTTAAGCCCCCATCACACCAAACTAGTTCTCACTACGTTCTGTAACCGTCCTAGAAAATCGTAAAACTGGTTGTGATCGGGGCCGAATGTGTAAATAATTTATATAATAAGATTCTAGTTCGTTCATAAACAGTCCTCAATACGTCCATCTCGTCTGTACCCCGTCCACAGTCAGTTCATAAAAATTAAAATTTGCCATTTCCAGGCAGTCCACGCCAAGTCCGTAGTCCGTTTAAACCCATTATTAACTAGTTCTACCTCGTTTCTAATATGTCCAAACCCATTATAACTAGTTCGCATCTTGTTCTAACTAGTTTTTAACTCGACCAACCCGTTCAGAGACAGTTCAACTTGACCTCATCTCGTTCTTAGTGCGTTCCAACGCGCTCCTAGCGTTTGGAATCCCGTCCTGGCTCGGGAGCTATTCGCGTTCTCGCCATTCATCATTCCAGTTCAACTTCAACGCTTCAAGCTTTGCAGATCAAGACGTTCAAGTGAAGCCCCCATCACACCAAACTAGTTCTCACTACGTTCTGGAAAATGTTGCCAAACGGGCTCAAACTGTGTGCAAACGATGTGAACGTATTATCAACTATTTACGATCTTTTTAAGAACTGTATGGACGGGCACGGACTGGCTTGTGCAGGAAGGGTGATCTAGAACTTTAAAACTGTTTAAAACTTTCCCCGTCCTGCAACTAGATGGAGTGACAACGTACTTAAAACGAGATGGACGTACTACGGACGGAATTGCCATACTATAAACGGAATTGCCGTACTTCGATCCTACTAGAAACATGCTACAACGTGATGTGGTCGAGCATCGATTATTAAGAACGCGATGTGTTTTATAGCCCTCGAACCAAGACGGGATTGCACAAGCACGGTAGGAGCGTGTTCGAACGCACTAAGAACGAGATGAGGACGAATTGGACAGTCTCTGAACGGGGCGGTTGGGTTATGAACTAGTTAGAACAAGTTGCGAACTAGTAAGAATGGTTTGGACTCCTTGGAAATGTCAAACTTACCCGATCTGAACGTGATTTGAACTGACTGTGGACGGGTACAGACGAGTTGGACGTATTGTTGACTGTTAATGGACGAACTAGGATCGTATTAAAGACATGAGTCAAGTCCGAGCCCATCCATGAATCAAATCGTAATTAGTTGATTTACGTTCCTCTTTGTTCGCACACAGTTTAAGCCCGTTTGGCAATATTTTCGAGAACGTAGTAAGAACTAGTTTGGTGTGATGGGGCTTAAGTTAGGAAATTACTACAGAGCAGTTGCCGTACAATCCCAGGGACAGTGTGTTCTAGAGTTCATCATCTTACCTTTTGGAGTACTGGTGTTGCTTCAACTTTAAATTCCTTTCGACCAGAAAGTCTGATGGCTTCGTGAAGACAGGTCTGTCCGTCTATGGACTGGATGTTGAGATCGGCGCCATGAGAAACTAATGCCTCGATGATGGAGGTGTAGCCATTTTGCGTGGCTAAATGAACTGGTGTGCAGCCTTTCTCAGCATGTTGTTCAACAACCTGTGTAAAACACCAGCCTCAAGAATTAAGAATCTACAAACAGAACAGCTTTTTATAAAGCAGTTCCTTTTCTAGTATTCCATATCTTTAATCACCACATAGACTTAAATATATACAGATATTAACATTTAAGCAATTATTATACCGTGAGACCTGTCTGTTTTGCTCACCCATGGGAGAAAAAAGAGTGGTCACTGTAGACAGATGGCCTTTCTACCTAGGTTCTCAAACACACATTCCTTTCTCTAGAGGGAGGCAAAATAAACGGCTACGACAAAAAAGTGGCTTTCAAAGATAAATGGCCACTAAGAAAGGTTTGACTTTATGTACTGGAACAAGATAGGTTTTGAAAATTCTTTGTGGAATCATTTCACCCTTTTTCATAATTTAGACAATCTAAGAAAGTTTTAAAGGTACTATGTCCCATTTGCAGGCCAAAATAATGAAAAGGTTAAATTCCAACGGTATTTGAAAGATAATATTAATTTAGAACTTCCCTAAAAAAAGGGGTGTTTGAAAATGTCTGCAAGTGGGAAAATAACGACTATTAGTTATCGAATCGACTTAGGAGCTATTGAGCCAATAAGTAATAGTCTTGATATTCAGACCATTGTAGCGAATGGCTGTACGTTTTATGCTGCGCAAAGATTCAATCAGTTTAATTTTGGCCATTACAAGAAGTGGGTAATTGATGTAGACAAATGCTAATGTACCCTTTACAGCTCATTTTATGTTTGTTATTACCAAAGAAGAAAAAGCCAGTCAGTCACTCAATAGTGTCTGGCAGTAAAGTCTAGCAAGTAAACGGGTTTCCTTGCATAATTTGAATATTAGGAGACTACTAACATTTAAATATCACAGTTCTACAGAATTTGAGGTTGGCTGCAAAATGGACACAGTATCTTTAATAGGTTATAAAGGTTATTTCAATTTATATTGGTATGACTTTGATTCTTGTGAGAATGTTGATAAACAGTATGCTATTTATTTCATTTTAAATCTATATGAATTATGAATTAAATACCCTTTTCTTCTTATCTTCTGTTAAACCCTCAGTGTCTGCATGGCCACTATGGGAAGAAATGTGTTTCTGCCCTTTAGCACACCACGTATCCGGACTTGTCCCATGCACTTGGTCTTGTTCTGCAGCGAGTTGCAACGCAGGTTTACTCAGATTTACTTCAGCTCCGTGCTCCAAAAGATATCTTGTGACATCGGTATGTCCATTTGCTGCAGACAAATGCAATGCAGATGATCCCTTCTTGGTAACCTTGCTAACATCTGCAAGTTGCTGAAGTAGACACCTCATGACATCGATGTGACCGTTCTGAGCAGCAATGTGCAAGGGAGTCCAACCGTCATTGTCTGTCGCATCAATTTCGGCTCCGTGGTTGAGCAAGCCTTTTGTGATATCGAGATGACCATTCTGCACTCCAACATGTAGGGCTGTAGAACCTTTCTCCTTGGTGGCTCCGTTGACCTCTGTTCCTCGCCTAAGGAAATGCTCGGTAACGTTACAATGGCCAACAAATGCAGCAACATGCAAAGGCGAGATATCATCAACATCTCCTCTGGCCACTTCAGCTCCTTGTACAAGTAGATAATCTACAATATTAAGATGACCCATTTGCGCAGCAAAGTGCAGAGCAGTCCAGCCAACATTGTTGCTTTCATTCACATCAGCTCCTCGACTGATCAGATACCGAACAATTGCAAGACAGCCGCCTTCTGTAGCATATTGCAATGATGTGCGACCAACCGTTCTGCCTCCTTGACTTACAAGAAGATCTTGAATGTCAAGATCAGACAATCTCAGTGGCAAATGCACAGTAACCATTCCACCTTGAGCTGTCTTATCCTCATCACCATCTTGAGATTTGATTCTACCAAGATCACTTTCTGGAGCACCTCTAAAGACAGTGAGAGAATCAACGAGTCTGCTAACTCCATGACTTACATGACTCTGCACACATCGCACAACATCATAGTGACCATACTGTCCATCAAATTGTAACATGACAGAGTCACGCACACTTCTCTTATTCAGTTCAGAACCTTGGCTGAGCAGATACTTCGTAATGTCGATCTGCCGACAATATACAGCATAATGAAGAGCAGTGGCTCCATGTGCGTCGCAATTACCTACATCAACTCCATGATCGATTAGGGATTTGACGATATCTAAATGGCCAGACGATGATGCAATAACTAGGGCAGTCATTCCAAAGTCATTTCCTTTATTCATATCGGCCCCTTCACTGATCAGATATTCCACGACATCCAAATGGCCTTTCTTTGAGGCACAATGCAAGGCACACCTACCAAAGTCATTGCTAGAATTCACATCAGCTCCTTGACTTAGCAAATATTTTGTCATATCAAGGTGTCCATTACTTGCTGCAATGTGTAAGGCTCTCCAACCAAAAGAACCAGCTTTATCTAGCTCGGCTCCTTGACTGACTTGATCTTTCATGGAATCAAGATCGCCTCTCTCTGCAGCGGTATGAAACTCCGTCCAATGAACTATATTGGCTTTGGCCAGCTCCGCTTGCTGACTAAGCAAAGCCCTTGAAATAAGAACATGACCAGCAGCTGCGGCAAGGTATAAGGCTGACCATCCTTGGCCATTGGCCTTATCAACATCAGCTCCTTGTTTGGTCAGATATTTGACGACATCAAGATGACCATTCTTTGAGGCTAGATATAATACACTCATAGCGTCATTTTCTACTTTATTCACCTCAGCACCTTGACCGATCAATTCTTTGATAACATCAAGATGACCATTCTGTGAAGCTAGATGTAATGCATTCCAACCATCATTTTCGACTTTATTCACCTCAGCACCTTGACCGATCAATTCTTTGATAACATCAAGATGACCATTCTGTGAAGCTAGATGTAATGCATTCCAACCATCATCTTCAACTCTATTCACCTCGGCTCCTTGACTGATCAATACTTTGACAACATCTTGATGTCCATTTAGAGCAGCTGAATGTAATGCAGTCCAACCATCACTTTTGCCCTTATTGACCTCGGCTCCTTGACTGATCAGATAGTTTGTTATCTCACGATGACCATTCTGTGCAGCTAGATGTAATGCAGTAAAACCGTCATTACCAACTGTATTCACCTCGGCTGCTCTACCGACCAGTTCTTGGATGAGGTCAAGATGACCATTCTGTGAAGCTAGATGTAATGCATTCCAACCATCATCTTCAACTCTATTCACCTCGGCTCCTTGACTGATCAATACTTTGACAACATCTTGATGTCCATTTAGAGCAGCTGAATGTAATGCAGTCCAACCATCACTTTTGCCCTTATTGACCTCGGCTCCTTGACTGATCAGATAGTTTGTTATCTCACGATGACCATTCTGTGCAGCTAGATGTAATGCAGTAAAACCGTCATTATCAACTGTATTCACCTCGGCTCCTCTACCGACCAGTTCTTGGATGAGGTCAAGATGACCATTCTGTGAAGCTAGATGTAATGCATTCCAACCATCATCTTCAACTCTATTCACCTCGGCTCCTTGACTGATCAATACTTTGACAACATCTTGATGTCCATTTAGAGCAGCTGAATGTAATGCAGTCCAACCATCACTTTTGCCCTTATTGACCTCGGCTCCTTGACTGATCAGATAGTTTGTTATCTCACGATGACCTTTCTGTGCAGCTATATATAATGGGGTCAAACCGTCATTTTCGACTTTATTCACCTCAGCACCTTGACCGATCAATTCTTTGATAACATCAAGATGACCATTCTGTGAAGCTAGATGTAATGCATTCCAACCATCATCTTCAACTCTATTCACCTCGGCTCCTTGACTGATCAATACTTTGACAACATCTTGATGTCCATTTAGAGCAGCTGAATGTAATGCAGTAAAACCGTCATTATCAACTGTATTCACCTCGGCTCCTCTACCGACCAGTTCTTGGATGAGGTCAAGTTGTCCATTCTGCGCAGCACTGCTTAGTGCACTCTGCAAATCTTCAACACGGCCATCTTGTTCATTTCCCTCCTTACTGTCTCTGTGGATCAGACTTTTGGCGTTGCCTTTACGACTGACCCCCTTTTTGAAAATCTTCTTCCACATTCCTAGTGAAACCTAAGGGTCTCTCTCCTGGCTACAAGTTCATGAACTCATCAAAATCTTTTAGGGCTGTTTTATTTTTTTTCGTACATGATGTATCTTCTCATTCCACTGTCAAATTCTTAGTGAAAGCTGGAAGCTGACATCAGTTTATCATCCAAATACCTGGAAAAAAGGAACATGTTAACATTTTTCGCAAATTCGGTCAGTGGTGAGGTACATAGTTTGTTTAATTGGATGGAAAGGGTATATCTTGAAGTAACTCAGTCCAAAAAGGGTACGGTTTTGGCCAGGCACGATTGATCTAAGCCACTGAAAGTTTTCTAGAACTTTAGAGGGCGCTATTTATATCATGCGTGATTATTGGAGCGTGAAATTGAGCTAGGTTATGTGCATTGATAAGATTAAATACTGTAGAAGTTTGAAACAAAACGAAATTGGTATGAGAAAGTGACGGCATCTTATGTTTTTTAGGAGTCAATACTTATAATATGCATATATGCGTATCACTTATATAATTTAAAGCGATTTTTGGAGAGTCGATTTCGGATTTGAATTTTCAAGTCAATGGTCTTTGTCAGGCGGCCAATCATCTCTAATCATGTCACTTATTTGAGTCTTTTAGGAACAATCCAAGAGTCCGATCTTTCACTTTAATCATATGTGTGTTGTTGGATTGCTTTCAATAAATGTACAATGTAGAATTGTTTATTTTAGATGTGATCAAAAGTCCACAACTAGTTTCCAATTCTAATCTATATTTTGTTCTTGTTTTGTTTTGTTACGTATTCTATATTTCATAAAGCACTTTTAATTAGCAGTTACAACGTAGACCACTCGACTATGACACCATTTCTACATTTCTTCAAAATGCCCATGTTGATTTAATATTTCCCTACCTTGATAATTTATCTGGCGAATGATTTCATCCTTTGGATAGTGGACTGGTACGTTGCCTTGTATTGTTAGACAGGTGGTCTGTGTAGACAGGTAGTCACTGAAGCAGGTTTGACTGTAATTAAAAACAGGGCTCTCTTGCAAAGCAGTTTTGATGTACTGAAAGGACCTCCATGTATATGGAACACATGATATATAAACTTTTGAACGAATAAAGATACATATATTTCTAACAACCAGTTTTTCAATGAATCAAAAGTCACATCTCACTCTCTGTTTTAAGTTTATTCGGTTCGTTGGGTCTCATTATAATGAATTCATGATCCCCCTTCATATGCAATACTCAATTTGGAAATTCCTTTAAAAGTAAGTACAAGCGCCATTTACTGTCCAATTATGTGTAAGTTAAACGCAATTTAGTATGTAACCGTCAACTACCTGAAGTTGATAGAATATTTTTTATTCTTTGTAATGAATGTATCAACTTGTCAAGCCGCATGGGTTTTTACAGATACACCCTATTTCATTTTCTAACACAATTTGCATTTAAATGTAATTACTTTGTTTCACATATTTAGGTCGAGTTTTATAATTATGTACATTGTAAATGTTTACAGCCTGTTTTTTTAAACACTGAATTTGAAATAAAATGGATCAATCAATCAGATGTAACAATATTCATTGTCACTATTCCATGATAGCTATTCCGATCTGTATTTGACCTTTAATACCTATACATAATAATAATAATCTTTTAGTCCACTCCAAATTTCATTAAACCGAAAATGGAAATTCTTTTTTTTGCAATTGATCGTGAGCCCGGCAGCCACTGAGCAGCGCCAGATCGACGTTGCTCTATCCCCTTATTGTTGAACGCCAAACAAGATAGCAGCAACTCCCGTCTTAAAACGTCTTTTGGTATGACGCGGCCGGGGTTCGAACCCACGACCTCCCGGTTGTGAGGCGCACGCTCTACTGACTGAGCCAACACATGACATTAAATTTCAAGATAAACATCAGAAGTGAATCATACTCCCTTCAGAAGCTGGGAATACACCTATCTAGGATCTTGGATCTTGGATTGGATTCCTCCGGAACATTCCACTAGGGAATTTTAACTGGAGGTGTGGCTTTGAGTGGTCAGTTACTTTTGGCTTGTGGGTTTTAAGAAAGTGAACAGCTCTGCTTTGAATGCAGAGGTAGTTTTGGCAGAAATTACTGAAGACGGTAGGTTGTTCCATTCCTTTGTGGTTTTGGGGAAGAACGAGTTTGCATGGACATCAGTTCTCGTGTGATAAAGCTGGAATTGGTGGTCATGCCCCCGTGTTCTGTTGTGGGTCTTTGGGGTGATGTATTTCTGATGGTCGATATCCATAGTCCCATTTAGTGTTTTGTAGAGGCAGGTTAATCTGTTTGCTCGTCGTTTTTCTTGCAGCGGCAGCCATCCAAGGGATTCTTTGAGCGACGTAACACTTGTGTCCCTGCCATAAGTTGATGTAGTGAACCTGGCTGCGGCGTTTTGGACACGTTCAAGGTCTTTGATGTTTTTAGCAGTGAACGGATCCCAGGCTGACGTCGCATAGTCCAGGTGAGGCCGGACTAGTGTCTTATAAAGTTTCTCCTTGGTTGACTGCGAGGTATGGTGAAAGTTTCTCTTGAGGAAATTCAGTACTTTCGATGCTTTGGATCTTGCATAGTTAACCTGTGCATTCCATCTCAGGTCGTTTTGAATGTAGACACCTAGATATTTACTTTCCTTTGTTTTTTCAAGAGTTACTCCCATCATGTTATATGTAGTGTGTGATTTGTTTCCTCCCCTGGAAATCCGCATAGTGGTATGGTACATTTAGACGGGTTGAATCTCATGCCCCATTCGTCAGCCCAGTTCACCAGTTTATGCAGGTCTTGTTGGAAGGTATCTTCATCTCTCTAGGATTTGATGGTGTTGTAAACAAGACAGTCATCTGCGAAAAGTCTGACGGTGCTGGATATTCCATCGTGTATGTTGTTAATGTGAAGCAGGAAAAGGTGGGAGCCGAGTACTGTACCCTGGGGTGCTCCACTGAGTACGGGGGACCAGTCAGATGACTTTCCATTCACCACCACCCTTTGGAATCTCTTTGTGAGGAAGGATGAGATCAAGTCTTTCGTTTTAGAACGTATGCCATAGTGCTCTATCTTGATGAGCAAACGCTGGTGAGGCATAACGTCGAAAGCCTTTGCAAAATCGAGGATAGCTATATCCGTTGTGAGTTTGTCGTCCATGTTTTTAGTTAGGTCGTGGTTGGTCACAATCAACTGTGTTACACATGATCTCGCTTTACGGAAAGCATGTTGTTGATCTGAGAGAATATCATGCTTGGACAGGTGTTTCATTAAATTACTATCGATGATGTGTTCCAGAAGCTTGCAGGAGGTACAAGTTAAGGACACCGGCCTATAGTTTGCTGGGTCAGTTGTTTGCCCTTTCTTATAGATTGGCGTGATGTTTGCTCGTCTCCAATCTAATGGGAGTTCCCCCGTGTCTAATGAAAGGTGGAAGATGTGTTGCGGTACTCTTGCCAGTTCGTATGCTGCCAGTTTAAGGGCTTGGTTGGGTATGTTGTCTGGACCAATCGCCTTGGCTACGTTGATGTTTTGTAGTAATTTTCTTACTCCTTCTTCCGTAACTATAATAGGTGGCATTTCAGGGAAAGGGTCAGCTTTCATGGATGGCTTGGGTGTTATCTCGGCGTCTTCCCGTGTGAAGACACCGTTGAACTGGTTTGCGAGGGCTTGTGCTTTGTCCAGGTCATCTGTTAAAAGTTTCCCTGGGACTTTCAGTGGTTTAATTCCTGTATTTTCCTTCCTTCTAGATTTTACATAGCGCCAAAAGGATTTTACATTGTCAGAGTCTATGATGGAAGCAACAAAGTTTCTGTGGGCACGTCTAATTATTTTATCAGTACTTTTCTGAGTATTTACAAAGAGTTCCCAGTCCTTATCATTTCCTGATCTTTTTGCTTTAATATAGTGTTTCTCCTTTTTCTTGCAAAGTCTTTTAAGTTTGCTAGTAAACCATGGTGGGCGCATACGCCCTTTAATTAGCTTGGTGGGAACTAAATCTTCAATGATATTGGACAGGTTATTCCGGAACCAAGACCAGTTTTCTTCTACTGTGTTCTTCTCTGGGTTACAATCGAAGTAATCAGACAGAAGCTTGGAAGCCCTCGTCTTGAATTTTTCCTCTGAGACGTCTTTCCACAAATAGATTTTACGCGGAGACATGGCATCTATTTTAGTCTTTGTTGATACTGATGCTTTGATGATACAGTGATCACTGATTCCAGGGCTAGGTTCAACATTTGACATTAATGATGGGTGGGTGGTCAAAAGCAAATCAAGTGTGTTTTTAGTTCCATTTGCATCTTGTCGGGTGGGGAAATTAACTATCTGTGTAAGATGATTTTCTTGAATAAAATTAATGAGTGTGTCGTGGAGAGCATTCTTCGGCTCTACAGGATCCTCTGACCAGTCGAGTCCAGGGACATTAAAGTCACCTCCTAGGATTATGTGTGGTGACTTTTTTTTATTTTTATATAGATTTCATTATGAGCATCTCCTAGATTCTCGATGGTCTTGGACCTATCATTTGGGGGTCTATAGTAGGTTCCGAACAGGACAGTATCATCAGCTTGGTTAGATAATGAAGCTTGGCACCAGACCGATTCGATGTCCGGTTGTGAAAGATATTTTCGTTCAAAACAGGGTATATTCTTGTTTATAGCTGTGAGGACTCCTCCTCCCATAGAGTTTCGGTCCTTTCCGAAGATGTTGAAGGAACTAGGAAAAATTTCTGCGGAGTTAATGCTTGCGTCAAGCCAAGTTTGGTCTGGTTTCTCTTGATCCAATAGTGATTCAAGGACGGCGACTTTCCCTTTAATGCTTCTGAAAATAACTACGATGACCTTGAGATCTCTGTGGTGATTTCTCGTTTTCGCCTTTCCGGCCTGGTATGTCTGATGATCAGCATGGTTCCTTGGGTGGAACAGGTTCTTTTTTTCTTTTTTTTACTGATTGTGGGGATCCAATCCAGGGCTGACTGGTCGCACTCGTTAGCGGTGTAC